TCCTGCTGATTCAGAACATTCTGCAATTTTTCAGGTATGCAACGTCTTTATACATATAGGTTAAGTTATTCAAGAATTATCTACTGATTCAAATGTCTGTTACACTAGTTGCATTTTGTTGGTGTTCTAAAGCATTATTAAATTACATGCTGCACCTTAGTTTAATGTATTATTTTATATTTGTGAATCTTATATCTTAGTGAAGCTTAATGAATTCTCCTTTCTTCAGTGTATCCAAGGCTTGCCAGAGGGTGCACTTCGGCGTATCATATTGACAGCGTCTGGTGGGTCTTTCAGGTAAATCATTATATATGTGTTCAAGTTCTATTCTATACATTATTTACTTGTATTGTAACATCTTACTGAGCTAACTCTCAGGATATAGTTTTTGTTATCAATGAAACCTGATTGGGCTCAATCTATTTTGTACATGGCCAAATTAGGGATTGTTGTATTTCTCTGTTTTTGGATACATAATGAGGATTTTGACGATTGCTCACTCTTGTAATGACAGGGATTGGCCTGTTGAGAAATTGAAAGAAGTTAAAGTTGCTGATGCTCTGAAGCATCCTAACTGGAATATGGGAAAGAAAATAACTGTTGATTCTGCTACTCTTTTCAATAAGGTTTTTTTTTTATCATTTCTAATCTTTTTCATGTTGAAAGCGTTCATATTGGAAGCACCATGCACTATTCCAATCTATGTGCTATTTGAATTTTGAGTTTCTAGCGGTTAGACATTAAGTTCTTTGCACTTTTGACAGGGTCTAGAAGTCATTGAAGCCCATTACTTGTTTGGAGCTGAATATGACAACATTGATATTGTGATTCATCCGCAATCTATAATACATTCAATGATTGAAACACAGGTTCAACTACTCAACATTTATCTGTAGTTTTGGCCTGCTACTTTTGTGTTTTAAATGTTTCTGTAGTTTGTAAAAACACTGCACACTCATATTTTTTGTGATTCATAATATGTTCTTTTCAGGATTCATCTGTTCTGGCACAATTGGGGTGGCCTGACATGCGCTTGCCAATTCTCTACACCATGTCATGGCCAGAGAGAATCTATTGCTCTGAAGTAACATGGCCTCGTCTTGATCTGTGCAAGTAATGAACCTTTTCCTTATTTCATCTTCATGGGTGTTCAGCTTGGGGCG